GCTAAAAATTTTCCAAATTTGGTGAAAACTATAAAACCAGATCCCAGAAGTGCAACAAACCCCATGCAGAATAAACACCAACAAAATCACATTAAGACACATCATAATCGATTTGCCAAAAGCCAGCAGTGAAGGAAAAATTCTAAAAACAGCTAGAATGATGGAAAAAAGATAGAATACTGCTTCCAAAAAGACAGAATATTTTCCCTATTCCTCTCACTACGTACAAGCACAAACCTTGGATGTTACACATAAAACAAACAGGAGAAGGCTCTGAGGGGTGAAGAGGAGTCACACTGGCTGGGAACCTCAGGCCCCGAGGGGCATGATGGGGAACACCTGAGGTTTCTTTTCCTCCTACATTCTGGACTAGAGAAATGCCAAAAGGGGCGGGGGCGGGGGCCCAACCATATACCACACTTACAGATAATCCATGGATCAAAGAAAAAGATCTAAAGGAACCTAAAAACAAATAAACAAAAACACTGAATTAAATAAAACTGAAAATACAACTTAAAATTTGTGGGACACAGCCAAGGAGGTATTGAGGGGATAATTTACAGCACAAAAAATATATATATATTAGAAATGAGGAAAATCAGTAATACAAGGTCCCATCTAAAGATGCTAGGAATAGAAGGGCAATATAAACTCAAACTGAAAAAGCCAGTCTCATAAGATAAAGGTGGCATTGGATTGAGTATCTAATTATATAAGGTTTGTCCAGAAGGTATCCAACCATGTAATACAAAAAATAGAGACATTTATGGAAGATACAAGGAACACTGTACGTAGGACAATGACACCTCAGTCCCCTTCAAAGGAGGCACCTTGGGACCTCACACAATCCTCCCAATCACCACCAGCTGCCCTGTCATATTTTCCTGAATCTCATCGATAATCTGAAATCTTGACCCTTTCAAAAGTAATTTTACTTTTGGGAAAAGCCAGAAGTCACAGGGCACCAAATCAGGGCTGGAGCGGGGCTGAGTCACCTGGGTGATTTGATGTTTCTGCAAAAAACTCTGCACAGGGGGTGACACATGAGTGGGCTCATTGTCAGGATGAAGCTGCCAATCACCAGTTGTCCATCACTGCGGCCTTCTGCATCACCCAAACAGTTTCCACAGAGGAATGTTCAAGCTTAACACAAACTTTGATGCAGGTTCATTGTTCTACTCACTCAGTCATTTTGAATGCAATGGCCACAGAGTTCACATGTTCACTCAAAGGCATCTACCACTTCCACTGACTGGTACAGTGAAGCTGTCATTGTTCACGAGTGTGCACTCCAGTCGTTCTCCTTGGCCACCAGGTTACATCAATGTCGCGCACACCATTCTCATTATAGTAACTATGGCTGGACTTTTTCCGGACAGACCTTGTAGAGTAATGATTTGCCCAGTTCACTCCGCTCAGTCCATGAGAGGGCTGTGAGCACTTCGCAGCTGGCCAAGAGCAGGTTCTGCTACACCTCAGGTATAAAGAAAGAGCAATTGTTTCTGAGGTAGAAGTGCATAGAGCAGAGGCCCCATTGCTCCTCTGTGCTGGTAGATAATATTGTTATCAGCCTCTCCCATGGAATACTAATTCTCAGAGTACAATAGATTCTTTTTTAAGGGAGAATACGGTTCTATAATTAAACATATCTGGAGACTAAACACAGGAAAATAAGATTCTTCACTGTAAGACTTCTCAGAGCCTTAGCATGCAGACATCTCTTATGAAATTCCAAACGGCACGCACCACAACCCAAACTTATTTGGCCACGGATGCTTTTTCCATGACGCATCTCAGGGGACCAGTGTTCCGTAAAATGCATTAGCAGCATGACTCTCCAAACAACCTTAGGAACCCATCCTATGGTTCCCTACAATTTGAAAGATTATCAGAGGTGAACAGAAATAGACATTTGTTGTTCTCAAACACCAACCGGTGTGATTTTTGAACCTACTCCAGTGGAAACGCCCTCCAGTTCCCTGTGATCAGGATAAGTAGCAAGAAGAAATGCCTAGGGGTGGGGGGAGGGGGTGGGGGGAGCAGAGGGGCCTGGAGGCAGGAGGCAGAAGGGAAGAACATTACCAAGAAGAGCCTGACACGGGGTGTTCAGGAATCAAGCAGGTAGGGGGTCCCAGTACGAAACTGGCAAGACTGGGTGGGCCCAGACCTCTTAGGTCTTGACGATCGAGTTAAGAACTTTGACCTTTTTCTTAAAAACAATGAAGTGCCAATAGGCAATCTTTAAGCAGGGAGCGACGACATTAGATTTTCATCCTATAATGGCTCTCCAGAGGAAAGAATGTATTAGGGATGAAGCGGGGCAGGAGCGCGGAAGGGCTGACCTTGTGCAGGCGGCGGGTGAAGGCAGCCTGTGTCGTCTCCAGGAAGAATCGGGAGGGTCTGCCAAGGAGGGTTTAGGGCTCCTTGGGAGCTGGATGCGGGGAAAGGGAAGAAGAGGATAACAACTGATTTCCCAGTTCCTGTTCAGAGCAACTTGAGGCAGCAGTAATACCATGTAATGAGCTAGCAAATACCTAACAGAAGGAGAAGAAAATCTGTAAGTTTGAGTGTCTTTGACAGACACCCAAGAGTGAATGCTGAGTAGGTAGTTGGAAGTTTGCTAAATATTCTAGAGAAGAGATTGCCTTTTATTTCCCATAAGATGCCAAGATACATTTCAAATGGATTAAACATTTGCATGCACAAAATTAACTCATGTTATTGAAATAATATGGAAGAATATTTATAAAAAATCTTGATACATAGAATCTGGCATAAAACAAGAAAAAAACAAAAAAGACAAGAGTTAATTATATCAATTTAAATATGATATATGAACAACAAAACAAACACTTCATATACATTTAAAAAACAAATGACAGTGGAAGAATATTTGTGACCTATGACAGATAAAATGTAATATACTTGTTATGAAGGGCTATTTCAAGTCAAGAATGAAGATTAACATGAATAGGAAGTTCATGAGAGAAGAACACAAATGACCATAAACATAGTTTAAAAGGATTCACCCTCACTAGTAATCAAAGACCTACAAATTCAAACAACACTTAAATGCATTTTTGGCCACCAGAATGACAATCCTCAGTACTTGTCTGAAGACGAAGAAACAGATGCTGTGCATTCTTGGTAGGAATGCGTGTTGTTGCAATGGTTTTTCCTGGGGAGCAATATGCATAAGCATTCTCCTGGCCCCCATGATTCCATCCCTGGGAAATTAGCTCAAGGAAATAGCCAGATAAGTACACAAGATGTACATAAAAGAATATTCATTGCGAAGTTGTTTATAATAGGAAAAAGTTCTCAAAAACGTTCTCTCCCCAAAGGCTGAATTGATGATAGGTTAAACAAAACAAGCATCACATTTCATACAATGAACTAAAGAGCAACCAGTAAAGATGACAAAACAGAAGCGTATTTCTTAATGTGGAAACACAGTTCTATGATACACATATTTTTAAGTGAGAAGGAGGTTACAATATAGTACGAGCAGTATGATTCCTTTTATGTTCAAATACATGTGCATATTGTATCAAGATGTTACCAATGGTCATCTTCCAGCTCCTAGTAATGCAGTTTTAAGTAGTGGAGTTTTTTCCTGTAGCACAATATTTTCTAATTTTTCTTCCATGCTTTTTATTATTTGTGGGATAAAAATATCTGGAAAAAATAGGATGCTTCTCCAATATTACTTTTGCATCCATTGATAAGTATAGCTGCCTCTGTGTTTATAAGCCAGTCAGCAAAACAAAACCATCTGCGAATGATTTTCCAGAGTGACCCCATCCCCAGTCCCAGGAAAGCCCGAAAGGAAAACACAGGATGTGACACAGATAAATACGAACGCGATCAGAAGTTGCTTCTCCCACATCCTGACTGCTGGCATCTTCCCCAGAAGCTCACATGAGACTCCCTATGGATGGACTGGGGACCAGGCGCTGGGACATTCTCCAGGGCTTGGGAGGTGGCCACAGTGGCTTAGCAGGGGAGGGGTGAGCATGCACGTTGCTCTCCAGCCAATGACAACATGTTTCCTGCAGCCTAAACACCCATCTGCTTCCACGGCTCCTTACAGGTCAACCTTTTGCAACTGGCAACCCAGAGGGATTCTGGTGCTTTTGCAGGCTGAGCAAAGCCTGAAAACAGAGGTGCGCCCTACACTCTACATTTCAGGACCCCTGGGTTCTGCTGGCAAAAAAAAAAAGGGTGGAACCTTCCCCTACCCCAGTGGTCCATGGCTCCTTCTGCAAACCTGATGACAATTTGAGAGCCCCCCCTCGGCAGCTACACATACACACAACATTTCACCTCTGTTTCCAGGGATTCATGAGCTCCCAGACACCCGGAAAGAGTGATTTAGAAGGAGCCTGGGTTCGGGTCGATCCCCGCATCAGAAACGACCCTTCCTACTCACGGCTCAGTGGCCGCCGAGGCCCTTTCGGAACCTGTCCTTGTCCTCCCACCGGCTTTCCCCTGGGACCACTGTCTCTCCCCACACCTGCAGCGTCCGTCCTCTTACTCGCAATCAGCCCGCACCCCGGAGTGTCCCCTGGTACTTCTCACCTCCACCACCACCGCTTTCCATTTTTCAAAAATCTCGTCACTTCTCTAACTGTCAACAAAAAATAAATGTGGTGGCTGAATGCAACTGCTACAGAGGATGCGTGATCCTTCCTCCCCCTCCTTCCACGAACGCATGCCTTCCAGGTGTTAGCGTAATGGCTCATTTCTCATGGTTCAGCGCAACCGCTCGGAAACCGTGGCGCACGGGGCGGGGGGCGGGGGGCGTCTCAGGGCACCCACCTCCCAATGCCAGGCTCCGAAGAGCCTTGTCTAATGACAAGGCGTGGACTGTGTGCAAACAGACCTTCATCTCAGCACCGCCCGCCTGCATGTTGCAGAGCGGTTCCTGGGCTTTTTTAACAGCGGCCATCTCAGGGGTTTTGTGATCAATTGGAAAGCTCAGTTCCTGGGTCACTTGCCTGTAAACCCCGGTGGGCAGACGCACGTGCCGTTCAGGCCTTCGCTGTCGCAGGTGCCTCCGTTCAGACAGCTGACGTTAGCGCAGGGGTCCTTGTACAATTCACAGTGTATCCCTGCGGAGAGAGACACAAAAGGGGAGACTCGTTCAGGCACCTCCAGCTCCCGTGGCTTTGAGCAAAGTGTCTGACCCTCGCCTAGTGGTGTGGCCACACGTTCCTGGTGGGGTGTGTGGGCATGTGTCTCCGTGTGCATGTGTCGGTGCATGCGTGTGTGTGTGAGCACCTGCCCTGTCTTGACTTTAGATCATTGTAATGAAATACTTCATGAGAAAGTAACATATTCAATCGCTGCTCACAGGCCGTACCATAAGTCTTCCGTCTGTACTTTCTCTGACCACATGTCCCAAAGCCTGGGGAACAGAAAAGTTAAAAGCTTGAAAGATCTAATTTATCAGGGACAATGCTTTCTAAGCCCCCAAAGAAACAGAAAACAGCCAGGCAGCTTTCGTAAGGTAGTGACGTAATTGATGAACAGCATCCATCCTGAAGGGGAAGGTTTGGGTTCAGGTGTTTAAATGAGCCTCAGCTCTTCGGAGAACTGCGGGAGGGAGGCGGAGCCGCTTGGTGCTCTGTGGGCAGAGACCTAGTAGCTCCATTCCAGACCTCGAGCTGTGCTTCCCATCTAATTTGATCCTCACAACAACACTGTGAGACAAATACTCTCATTCCGCAGTTTCCAGAGGAGGAAACTGAGGAAAAGGTGCTAGGTCACCTGAACAGGAGTCCATGCCTGCCACATAGTTTGCTTAAAGTGAGCTCAGATTGGCCACGCAAACATACAAAGTTCTATGTAGCTGAGCACCCCTTTAACCAAAGAGAGGCATTAAAAAAATCATAGTGGAAATAATGTTTTCCATTGATATTTAAAAAGGTCTACGTGTGTTTGTCCACATGCAAATGCCTGAAGTGGGACTGAGAGGGAAATAAATTACCTTTGACTTTCACATTATGTATTTCTGTATTATTGGGACTATTTTACAATGAGTAAGCATTATTTTATACTTTTATAAAAAAAAAAAACTAAAAATGCAACACTTTTCCCAAGGTAGGGTCCCTGCTGTTGTTTCAGTGGAGCGCTGAGTCAGATGCATGGGATAAGCTGATTCTCCCATTCTCCGCCCTCTAGAGAGGAAGATAAATTACATTATATTCTGCATAATAATCTATGTAACGACATGCTCACCCTTCCGACAGCTTCACGAAAAATAAGGATAAAGCAAATGGTGACTGAATGGTATTTACTTAATTTACTCTCTACTTTGTTATTAAGCTCACACGTTGCAAAAGGCTGCCACGCCCAATGAGTCATCATTCGGTCACTGAAATTACTCTTGCTGGGGTTTTTCTCTCCTTTCTTCCTCAATGCCTTAAGGAGTAGGGTTAAAGAAAGAGGGGAAAATGTAAGAGAAGATGGGACGAGGACTGCCTATTTGTTTCCACAGTAACGACTTACTTGAGCCTGGTAAAACAGTTGAGAAATGGATGGCTTTTCCTTTCTTTTTATCCTTTGCCCCTCATATCCAACCCATGTGCAATATTCTGCCAGATGTTTTTCTAAGGTGCCTCTCAGATCTTTGCCTTATTTTTTTCTCCCTACGGCCACCACCCATCCCGTGGGCTCAGGCTTGGTGGGATATGGCCCTTGGGAACAAGGACCCAGCTCCCTGCCCATCTCCAGTGACTTGTATGAGCCGTCACACTTTCATCATCATTAAGAAGCCCAGGATATTCATGCTTATCTACAAGCTCGAAGTAACAAAGAGTAAATTATTTATTAGCACAAAACTGGTAGTTCTTTACCTGAGATCGAGAGAGAATGTGAGAGAGACTATTCGTCCAGAAGTTTCTATTTCTATTTCAGTTCAAGCTCAGCTGAAAGAATGAAATGAAAAAGAACCTTTTCTCCTCCCAGGGGTTTGTCAAAAAAACAAAGATTCATGTATTTACAAGTTCCCCCGAGGCTGACCAATGGGGAATCAGGTGACAAAAAAAGGCTTTCAATTATAACTGGAAATGCAACCACAGCCAAAGTTCAGAGATGTCTGAAGCTGAAAAAAATTCCACAAGCAATCAAAAATGATCTTTACTGGGTTTCTAGTGGTACATTAGTCAATCTCACCTGTATAATATTAATATAAATAACACATTAACACAAACTACCACATTTTTTCAAATCAGGCTGAAGAGCAAAATCTAGGCTAAGTATTCAAACATCTTAACCTTAAAAGCCTCCTATAATACAGATTTGATGAAAACACCCAAGATAATAAGCAATTCCAATCTTTCACGTGGTTTTATTTGGCAATAATTTTATCCCTCTTTTTCAAAAGATAAGAATATTTGGTCATTTTTCAACCCATTGAGAGTTTTCTGGCAGCAAGATCAGACAAAAGCCAATCTTCCCAGAAACACGATGGCTATGAAGCAAGATGGCCTTCAAAGTCCCCAGTGAGTACTCGTTACGCACATTTCTATACGCTAAGTGTTGCTAATCCCTATATAAAAGATAGGTGTCATAATGCTCAGCTCGATGGTTAGAGCTGGACAACTGCGAGCTAGAAATCTGAAATAGAGAGAGCGAACAGGCATGAGCATCGCTGACCTGCGGAGGCCGCCTCCTCGCCAGCCCTCCTCCTCCAGCCACAGGTCTCGCCCTCCTGAGCTCACTGTTCCCCACAGGCCCCAGGCACTCACAATGCTGAGAGCTGGGCACCCCAGGTGCTCTGACAAGGACGCCTTCCTCCACCCTCTTTCCCAAGCTGGTCATTGCCTGGCACATTCTCTCTGTTGAAGTCCAGCTCAAACACCCTTTCTTGGGAAAGCTGAGCCTGACTCTCCCCAAACAGAAGGCCATTCTTTTGCCACTGTGCATTGAGAGCGGGCTGAGTTCACGCTGTTACAGAGTTCACTGTGCTAAATCATGACTCATCTGTCCTCCTGCCGTATCCCCCCACAAGTCTCCGAGGTCCTTTAAAGCAGAGGCCATATCTTAATGCGTGGAAGGAATGATGGGTATCCCCCCAGGATCCTGTCCTTTCAGGAGGGGCGACGGACTGTGTACTTTGGCTGACACACAGATAGGGTTGCCAGAGGAGGGGGAAGCCATTCCAAATCTGCCTCAAAAACACCCTATTTTGTCAGGGAAAACCTGGTCCACACTTCAGACTCAGTCTATGGAATGACACAGGCATCAGCCATTGGCAAAGGACGCGGCACGCACTATTACAAAACTTATGTTTAGTCTCAAGCAAAAATAAACTGTAATTCAGTCAAAACTAATAAAAATTCATACTTTTCATATTAAGGAATAGAGAAGCAATGTTTCTGAAAAAGATCTCTATTCCAACAGGGCAGTTTATAGAAGTTAATTTTAGAATGAATGTGAACAACAATTCAAAGAGTCATGTACCAATTATAAATCTTCATTGTCATCACAGTTTAGTGATGATTAAGGTTTTGAAAACAAAAATCATTATTTTTATCTCCAGGAAAACTAAGCCAGGTAAAGAAAATTAACTTGAAGCATCCTTTGAACTTATTATTCTCTTTAATATGTCATCTCATATTCAAACTTATTTCCTCCATGAACACTTTTCTAGTTTTTCTACGCTCACAGAACTCAACTTTTTCTAAATTATTCAAAAATTACAATTGACATCTCAACCTTAACTTCATTGTTTCTTGTGTGTTTCAGTCTCAGTCTCCTCTTGATTAAATAATAGCCCAAAAAAGGGGAAAAAACCTTGACTTACCCATTTTTGCATCTGTCCCATTCCATGAGAGGCGCTATGTACCCACAACATCCAGAACTTCTTATTCCCTGATTACACAGAGGAAATAATTCTAGCCAACAACAACAAAATTCTCGTCTTTTCAATTATAAATTTCTGTAGACTTTAAAAATTCACATTTAGATATAATGTGATCAAACCCAGAACTCAGTGATCTCATTTCTGAGACCCTTCTTATTCCCTGCCCACTCCACCAAAAAACATATCCAGAAAATGTGAAAATTATAGGAATAAAAATACTCGTTCAAGAATTATTTCCAATAGCCTCACGTTAGATGCAACAAGGGCTGGATAAATATACTGTAATGAGAACATTGCATAATCATGTAAGCTAGAATTAGTAAGACTTCCTAGCAATATTGTAAATCAAATGTAGTGTAATGTTAAGTATAAACAGAAAAAACAGACAATTGTAGATATACTCAATTATAACTGTAAAAACGTGGCTATTTTTAAAAGGGTGGAAACAATACAGATGATTATTCCTCTTGTATTCCGCTGTGAAACAATGAGCTATTTTGAAATTTCTTTTTTCTAAATTTTTTATTGTTATTTTCAACAATAACAATTAAAACATGGTTACTTTTTTTTCTAACTTCTGTCACGAAAAATTCCAAATGGGTATACTGTTGATCACTTAGCTTGTTCTGCTAGAAGTAAAACTCAAAACAAACGGGGCCGTCACTTGACTTTTTGATAACACGAAATAATTCCATCGTGAACTAGCTGTAACCTGGTTCTGAAGGAAGTGTCAGCACTTTGGCACATCTGAAAGGCGGTTACTCTGAATCCCTCTATGTATTTGCTTCTAAGAATTTCACGATCCACAGTGGAAACTTACTGGGAAAATGTTCGAGCTGGTTTCTTCTAATTAGTATGTGAAGCAGCAATTTCAATTCAAGATCGCTACTTAGCATTCGCTTTGTGCAAGCCACCGTATCAGAAGCTGCCGAGAATTAAAAGAAAAACTCTACATAGTCACCGCCTTTCACTAAGATATGATTTAGTGGAAGAGAGAAGGAAGTCTGAAGCCAGAAAGAATCGACTGCAAGGCTGACTGTGATTGTCTTAGCAGATACAGAGAAAATGCTGGGAGAGTTCAGGAGGGAAGAATCCCGTCTGTGTGGGGATCAGCCTTTTAGACGGTGGGCGCAGTCAGAGGACTGAATGAGAGCAAAGAGGAGGCGGCAAGAGAAAGGGGCCCAGAAGAAAACCTGCGGACCCACCGCATTCATGGTCTCCAGGGGACAAGTATTCGGTGGG